ATGAATTTATGTCAATAAGTTTGGTATTAAACTGTAGATTGTAATTCACATTTTAGAACTATATATTACTCAATTTGTTAATTTAAAAGTAAGTATTATAAAAAAAAATAGATAAATATTGATTTTTGTGTGTCACGTGGTATGTTGAATGCAGCACTAGTTCAAATTAGATGTTTGTGAAGTCAAAATACTAAGTCTATAGTTTCATACAAGTTAGAAACTCAAATTTTAGATACTGACAAGCTAGAATATAAAATAAGGTCTTTTCTATTTGCTAAGATATTGCTCATATAATGAATCAAACACAGTGGTACCTCCCTCACCTCTTCCCATTTTTGGAAATGCTCCCTTATATACACTTACTTCTATATATAACATGAATAACCAATCAGAAGCTCAGAATGCCTCCCTAGTGGTTTTATCGGCGGCCTTTCTAACGTACCTAGCACCATTTCTTTCTTTTTTTTTAATCAAAATTTCAATGAGGTAGATTGTGTCTTTAGTCTGCTCGAAATTTCATGTTTTCTTTAGACCCAAGTACAGCTTAGTTACTAAGCTTGATAAGTTATAGTAGAATTCTATGGAATTGATGTAATAATTTATAATTTTTTTAGTTATTGAAAAGTATATATAAAACCTTAAAAAAATATATTTTGTTTCATATCCTCCACTTGCAAAATTTTGAAGGCTAAGCAACCTTTGTCAAGCAGTACAAAGGTCGTAACTAGAAGAGATAATTGTTTGCTTTACTTCTTTATTTACTGTTCTATGTATTAGGAAAAATAACTTTAAGAACTTATTTCAAAATAACAATAATCTATGTACATATATAATGTATAATAATTGAAATGTGACTGTATTTTACAAAATACTACTCGACTACAACACAGCCAAGACAAGTTAATGTCTACAAACCAAAGGTCATCTTTATGTTATTTGATACGGTAACATGAGTGCACATGAGCCTCGCTGTTGTGACTTCTGTATTGTTAGCCAGGCATGGGTGAAAGGTCAATATAATAAATATATATAAATGTATAATATTATGAGATTTAAGCTATTTCATCTGAACATTTATGTTTTCGTGTTATAATATGTGTTCATTCTAGAATGAAAGAGCCATAATTTGTTTATTTCCTAATTTTTTATGGTGGTTGTAAGATCAGTCAAATCTACCGAACCCGTACAGAGATTAATTACTGAAAATAACAAAATATAAAGTTTTTTCTCAAGAAATGTTTGATAACTATCTAGACATTATAAATATTTCGCATGTGAAATTTCAAAATTTTATGATGCATAAAAGTATTTTTAATCTTAAAATGAAAATTACTTTTTATGATAGATAGGCAAGATCTGAAAAGAAAAAAAAGGCATGAGAAAAACATTGCTTTACAACCTTTAAGACTTAATAAAAAAATATATATTGTGTGGATGTAATGTTTGCTGGTAAAGTGCTAAATTTCGTTAACATTTGCTTACTAATTTAAAAGTTATAGCATGAAAACTATAACAAGCACAGAATGGTTACAAGGTCGGTCTCAGGGACCGAGCCCGGGTTGTAAGAATTAATGCTTATTTTATGGTTAGAATAATTAGTATTTGTAACAAGTTTTCTGTAAAAATTGAAAATGTTTCATTAGAAGAATTTGCAATAATTGAATTGGAATGCTTATTAATGTGTTTTATTGTACATGAGTTAGTAGTCTTTAATAGGTGAAAGTATCTGAATTATAAAAGTATATAGATATGAAGAAAAAAAACAGATTGCAATTTCCTATATCTGACATTTCTTTTTCATGAAAAAAATAGGCAAAATATGGAATTCTGTTGATAATCACCCTTTAATGTTATAATCATCGTATGGAAAATCATTATAAATAAAGTGAAAATACTTAATTTTAAACTTAATGTTTCTGTGTATGAGAGCCAGCAGCATGAAAGAAAACTTGGGTTATACATCATTTGTTTGCAACCTGACGACACAGAATGAAATAGAGCAGTGGTTCTGAACCACTGGTCCATGAACATGTGGTGGTGTCATATTGAAATTAGGTTTGTTGTTTGTGACAACAGTTTAATAAGATTAGTTTTAAGAATATTACATCTAACTTGTATATATATATACTTAGAAAGCTTTCATAGCAATATATAGGAGTTGTACAATTAAATGTATCATGCTCAGAACATTGTATAAATCTTGGATATTATGTCATTTGTTGTCAACCTAGATAGGGGAATCACACACACATATGTAAGTCTGTAAATGTAAGAAAAAATCATATTGCATCAAATGTTGAGTTAAAAGCTGTTATTTTAAAGGCGATAGTTATGACAAGTTTGTTTACTTAACTCAGTATGAATCATACGTTGTGTTTATAATTCATTGATGTTAAGGCTATCGAATGTTGCATGCAATCCATTGATTTCAAGGATATAGAAACATATAAATAGCAGCAAGCAACCGAATGAAAAGAGTAAAGTTACCGGTAGTAGAAGTTGAAGAGGTATTTTGGGAGAGAAGAAGACCTAATGGGTGCAGCTATTGAAACAAAGATGGGTGTTGCAGGTGTGGCTGTCATAGAAGCAGAATATGAAGACAGTGACTTCGTTATAGAAGATAAAGACCTACTAGGCCTAAGAGCACTGAGTGGAGAGGAGAAGAAGAAAATTTTCAGGGAATAAATCAAAATATGGGTTGTGAAAAGTTTCACCCTAACTATAAGAGGTCTGTAACAGGTGGGTTGATTTGTAGTCTTGAAAATAAATATATTTTTTTGCTTTTCTTCTCTGATAGCCTGACATTTGGGGTGTTAGGTTCATGATTTTCCTCTCTTGAGCTTTAAATTGATGTACAATTTAGTTGGGTAGTGTAAAACAACTTGCATAATTAAATAGAAGTGAATTGTTGTGTGTTACTTTCAATGTTTATTTTACTAGCAGTTAAATAAAAAGGAAAGAAACTATTTGATTAACAGAGACCCTTGGAGCTGTCTAGTGTAAGTTTTACATGCTATCCTTGCAATGCAGAAGAGGGTCTTCATGACGACCATACATACAAAATATAAAATAAAAGTTTAACTTTTTTTGTAATTTTTCACTTTTTATAAAGCATTATTAGCTTGTTATATTTATTAATGTACCTGTAACAGGAATTTCTGCTGCGTACTTTTAATTTTATAATGTACGGTACTGTACGTTGTAAGAAAGAAAAAGTATTATATACTAGCTGGAGTACCCATCTCCTGGACAAAAGTTGTGTAAGTTCATGAAAGTTACTACTCATATGCATTTGTAAAAAGCGCCCATAAAAACTTCCAAACACAAAATGTGAAACCGCAAGTTTACATGTATCTCCACATGGACCCAACAAACCTTCATTCCAAATTTGGTGAAGATCCATCAACAGGGGGTGAAGTACTGTTAAAAACTGAAAATTTGTATGTATCTCTACATGGACCCAATGAACCTCCATACCAAATTTTGTGAAGATCCATCTACAGGAGGCGAGGTAGTGGTAAAAAATGCCCGTAAAAACTGAAATACTAATTAGTAATAATAATAAAAAGGAGCATTAATAAAACTTTTTCTGCGTTAGGTTACAAGTTTCTGTAAGTAATGTTTTATTTTTTAACCTTTGTTACCTGATGAAATTAGTTAGAGAAATAAATTATACTAACACAAAATGACCAAGGTTTCAACTGCAGGAGCATCTTTAGGTAAGTGTAGTTGAAACCTTGGTTGTATTATGTATTAAAATTGTGAAACATGGCAGTAGGTATTTTTTTTTTTATATTTTGGTAATAAACTTATGACAGTAATTGATAGTATTTATTATGAAATTTGATTAGATAAAATCAAATGTGCTGACTTACTAAAGTAGAGGTGTACAAAGCACCTTACAAAAGTAAGTGTGAACATTAAAACCTTTTGGAAGCATTTCGGTAACATAAAATTGTTCTAGTTTTTGAAATTATTTTGCTATTCTACTACTTTAAATAAGTTTAAAATAAGCATTCTTTTTGTTGTCTACACAACAAAATCACATCATATTCTTCCAGTAATGTACAACAGCCCTTGAATCTGATAAGAGTAGATATTGTTGACACTAAGATTTAAAAAAACGTATTCATTAGAATTTTTGCATGCTGCTGCTCCAGCCATTGTGCTGTCCCTTACAAGGACACTTACCTTCCACTAATAAAACCATCTGGAGATGCACCTAAACTAACTCTGAGTATAAGCCATAAACCTGTGGATATCACCTTATTTAAAGTGTTTCCACAGTAGGCTGTTAGTGATATACGTTCATGTGTAATTTGCCCAATGAATGGCAAAAGCTGCTG